CTACCGTCACCACCATCCATCCACACAACTATTTTCATCATGCAAAGCTGTGTAGGGGAGGGAAAGATACTTTTTTCTTTACCCTTCTAGCTTCTCCAGTGGACGCCCTGGAAATTAAACTGACAAAAGACAGATTAACAAGAGAAAAACTGGCAGCAGTTCATTAACATGTGCATGTGCATTCCCATGGGAGCACTCAGAGACGAGTAACTCAAAACGGTGGTTAGAACGTGGGCTTATTTACCATGTTAACAGAGGACAATAAATTTCTAGAGAAGCCACAAGACAGAAAAACGGATTTAAGCTCTTAGGGGTAGCAAACTGTGGGAAGGTAAACACGTGGGGGGAAACGAATGGAAGACGAGGGTGTGTTAGTAAGCTTCGCTGTGTCGAGCCCTGTAAGGTGCTGTCTCCGGGCTGGTGAGAGCCTCTGCCTGCTGCTAGGCAAATGGCAGGGAGGGCAGAGAGGCTTTTTCAAGGCTGCTGTTTCTCAATTGTCTTCGGTTCAAAATAATAATTATGACAAAGTGGCATATATTGGGGTGGCATATTCTGATCCCCTACAAATGAAATTCTGTACCCGTTAAACACTAACTCCCCATTTATCCTGGTTTCGTTTTATGATGACAAATCTTCGTCCAAGTATGTTAGAGATTTTCAGACTTGCCTGTTGTTCCCCAAATCATCACTTTTTCTCTTCTCGTCCCCTCCCCCATATATCGGTTTCCCTTTTGTGCTGCTCGTTCTTTTGTTGTTGTTCATGGTGATCCTCAGTTGTTGGCACAAGGTGGGCTCAGTAGCCAGTGGGATTCTGCACTGTTGTCTTGAATGCAGGTCATGTTCCCCCAGGGATCTTTTCAGAATGGGCCTTGACTAGGATGTCAGGGGGACCACACACTGACCAGCAGACATCACTTTAGCGAGTGTCCACAGGGAGCCCCGAAATGAACATGGCATTGCTCTGAGGCAGCAACACCTATGCTTTTAGCCCTGCCTCTGCTTGCCTTGGATGTCGTTTTGACATCCAGCTTACTCAATGTTGTTAGAGAAGCACTAGTAACCGTCCGTGTATCTATCTGCTGTGGGTCAAATGTCACCCCAAAGTTCATGCATTGGAAACAATCTCTATTGTAACAGTGTTAAGAGAGTGGGAAATGCTATTTAGCATTTGAAAAGTGGGGCCTTTGGAAGGTGATTGAGTCTAAGGACCATGCCCTTGTGAACGGATTGATCCACTCATGAAGTACCTGGTTATCGTGGGCTGGTTCTGATGGTTTTAGAAAGAAAGTGAGTGAGAAATTAGTTCTTTCACTCGTGCTCAGGCAGTTCTTGCCATGTGATAACCTGTGCTGCTGTGCAGAGTCACCACCCAGAGGAAGACCCTCTGCAGATGCTCCTCCTGGTCCGTAGACTTCCCAGCTACCAAAACCAGAAGAAATAAATTTCATGTCTTTGTAAGTCATCCAGTTTCAGGTATTCTTTTTTAAGTGATAGAAACAAACTAATATACTATTTCTTGCATTGGGAAAATGCCATTATCTTTTTCTTTGGTCGGGGCAAGTAAAGGACCCAACCTGAGCAGTTAATCCCTCCCCGCACCACATTAGCCCCAATCCTCCTTCTTGTGCTCCGTCTTCCCAACTCACTTCGAGCTTGTCATGCTTACGACGAATTCATGATGGATTCATGTCTTAGGTGAACATGCTCTCCGCTGGTACGTGTGTTCCATAAGTATTCCATAGGCAATTCTCATCTGCCGTCGCCCCCCTTCCACCCTCCCACCTCAGGTTTGCCTCAATTTTATGCAGTTATTCACTCCTGTGACTCTCAATTTTGTGTCATGAGGCTGCAGAGAGGTGGTGGGTATATGTGGTAGGTCTGCAGTCCTGAATGGAATTCCTTATATTCTTTTAAACCACTAAATAGTTTTCCATATTATAAAGGTGCCGTAGTTTGTTTAAATTTTCCTCTTAATGGACATTTAGGTTGTTCCAATTTTTTATTGTGATGAACAATACTTCTACAAACACCTGTGTATATATGTATGTTTCTATACAATAGCTTTTTAGAAGTGTAATTACTGTTATAAAGTAAATGCACACTGTGCATTTTGAGAGATGCTTCCAAACAGTTATTCTAAAAATTCTACCCCAATTTCCTACCAAAATAGTATGAGGGTATGGTTTCCTCCCCATTCCAGATATGTACATATGCACTACATGCAAATGCTACACCATTTTATATAAGGGATTTGAGGGATTTTGTATCTGTGGGGGGTCCTAGAACCAATTCCAACCGAGGGATGAGCATATTTAGGCTACTCCCACTTATTTTGTTCCCCCAAACAATGCTGAAAAACTGGCTACATCTCATGTGCTTGGGCATGAGTGTCTCTCTAGACAAGTGCTTTCCAGCTTGTCACATTGTGACGCACTCTGAACAGGGCACTGCTTGGTGTGGCACACGGGAATCAGTGCGTGGACGTACTGCTCCCAGCAGGAGCTGCCAATCCCTGGCAGTGCTGGCTGCTCCTGACCCTACCCAGACACCCTGAGGACTGAGATTCCAAACTCAACAAGTCCATGTCCAACTCATGGCACCTGAGGGGCTCCCAGTCTGGAAGCTCTGCACCAGGAAACAGGCCTTAAAGAGAAATTACTGGGCATATGGACAGACAGCTCCTATTGTCAAGGTGTTCTTCAAAGTAGTTGTACCAGTTGATACTCTCAATGCCTCTTTCAATTTGAGGATGGTGTGTTTGTTCAGCTCTTTTAAAAAGCTTATTATTTATCTGATAGTTTTCTACCCTTCATTTTTTGTTCTAATTCTTTCCTTCTCTGTCTGTTTCCTTCTTTCTGGAATGCCTTCTAGGTAGGTACTGTATCTCCTGGATTAATCATCTCTATCTTTTATTGCTTTTGTCATATTTTCTGTCTCCTCCTTTCCTCTGTGTTCCCTGAGATTTCCTAAACATTATTGTCCATCCATATTTCTTATTTTATATTTTGTGAGACGTAACTTTAATTTCCAGAAGCATTTGCTGTGCTTATTCTCACGTGGCTCATTTTTCATTGCGTTGTGTCCTTGTTCCATGAATGCAATATTTTCTAAAATCTCTCTGAGGATACTGACCGAAGAAGTTTTGTTCTTTCATTTTCTTTGCTTATGTTCTTATGTTCTCTGAATTCACTCTGTTTTCGCTGGGGGTAAATTTCTGGCCTTGTCTTTCTCTTTCTTTTTATTATCCTAGTTGCTTTTTTTCATACCACAAGCTTTCTTTAATCTGTGGTGAGCCTTGCCTGTCCTTTCAAATGAGGGACTATAAAGGCTGGTTGGAACTCTGGGACAGGAGTTCCTCTTTCACAGGAGGGGGCAGAGAGCTGGCTGCTGATATGCTGGGGCTCTGCACCCCAACTCCATTCCCACATGAGAAGCCTCTGCTCTGGGCATGCACAGAAGCTGCCTGAGTCCTTCCACACTGTGCACATTATTCCTTGCCTAGGGTCAGTGCCTGGCTGTGTGTCCTTGCTGCTCTGTGTATGGTTGGGGCTGGGGGTAATGACTGTCCTACACCCAGATCCTCCACACTTTTCAGCCCCGTTCTTCTCTCCTGCCCCTAACTGTTGAGCCCTGTGCCATTCCAGATTCTGCAGGGCACAGGTGCTTCTT